ATTTTTCAGTTTAATGAAGGTAGTGACATTTTAGGCCATAAGTGTTAATAAATAACAGAAAATCCAGATAATTTATCAGATTAATGCTTTTTATCAATCCCTAAAAATTGCTGTCTTGAAATTTTTTCACATTATCAGTTTTTCTCATTTTCCATTGTATTTTCCTTTTTTGGGTTATTAGTTCCCAACTTTGGCTCATGATGCAAATAGCTTGGCAAGAAAATGGGGAAAGTGGTTTATAAGAAATACAAAATAATTTGAATAGTTCATATAAAGACACTCTAAAATAGTTATTTTTTAAATATAAATGCACTCTTGTTTTGACATGAGTGCAAATGTTGAAGGATTTAGGAATGTTTTAGTTCTTTTGTGTCACAACATTTATTGTAAATTGCATTAAGCAAAGACACTAAGCAACATGAAAAATTTCATGAGGTCTAACCAATTTAATACAGATTCAAATTCTTTTGAGGTTGCAAAAACATGCAATTTTGGGAAATTTCAATAATTTCATAGAATCTCCATCTTCTGTCTTCCTGAATCCTGTTCTTTTATTGTCCTTTCTCCTTACTAAAGTCTTCTCATTCGCTTTCACTCACAGTAACCCCTTGCGTCTTAGTGGCATTATCGCCATGTTTTGTCTTCCAGAAACCCATTTTTTTATTGTCCTTTCTCCTCACTAAAGTTTTCTCATTCTCTTTCACTCCCAGTAACCCCTTGTGTCTTAGTGGCTTTATTGATTTGCTTGGGGTGAAATGAAACTCAACTATTTCCTCTTCATTTTAGTTGAGTTTTATTGCAAGTGTTCAGTATTTCAAATTTTTATTAGATGAAGCATTGTCAACCAAATTTTTAGTAATATTAGTATGGGAAATTTGTCTCGGCTTTTGACATAAAAGGGTTGAGGTTGAAGGTGACAGAATTGATAAAAGCAACATAATGGATGAATAAAAACTCAAACTCTTGCTCAGGGTGTCACAATAGAAGAAAATGTTTATTTTCATACACAAAGAAAAGGGTAAAAGAATATACACAAAATATGAGAAAGAACAAAAGAAAAATCCTTTAACTTAAAGGAAGAAAAAGTGTACATGTAAAGGCTTGCTCAAAATATTTATCTGAGTGCCTAAAAGTGCTTCAAGCAAGTAAATAGTTCTTAAGGGTTTAACACTCACATAAGATTTCTTTAGAACTCTTATTGAGGGGGAAACAGTCGGAAGATCCGCAGTTTGTAGTTGAGTGAGTTCATTGGCTGACAACAGGAATTTCAAGATCCTACGAAGCAGATCTTGATTAGTTTTTAGTAGAGGACAGACATTCTGTCTTTAGAGCCCACCATATAGAGTTCTTCCTTGAAAAAGGTTCCAAAGATGACTGGTGTTACTGTTGCCGAGCTGATGTTATCACAGACGATGTCAAATACTTGCTGTCAAAGAGACGCGTATTCTCGGTATTTATTGAGATTACAAGGCTCAGAAATATCAGGAACTTTTTCCTCCCAAATTACTTATACACTTTCATGGCCCTCTTATTTGTCAAAAAATATAATCTTATCTCTGATAGGAATCAAAGGTTTGGGAGCTGGTTTTGTAAGCAAGGATCCAAAAAGTTGTGAGCATTACCCCATGACCCCCCCACAACACACACACACACCGACTTTATGGCACCATGGTCAACACAGGGGTGATCAAATTCCTTTTTATATTTTCCAGCTCTCTCGTTCATCAGAAAATATATTATCTTTAATAAGAATCAAGACTTTGCTGGCCAGTTTTAGAAGTAGGAATATATGTTGTGTCAAAAGCGGCCAGAATATGAATTTGCAAAACATTGTAGTAGTGGTTCCCAAATTAAATTCTGATACTAGACTAATAGTTTTTTTCATTTTAATTTTAGTTACTTTATTTCTATTAGCAATATTAGTAGTAGACATATTATCTTTTTATTTAAAAAAAACAAAAAAACACTGCCAAACGTAATTTATGACTAGTATTACTTTCGTCTTAATTTTAGTTGTCTGATTGACAGTAGCATGCAGAAAGGTAGGTGACAGATGGTGCAACATTCCCTGGCATCCATATCGGGGAGGGCATCCAATCAAAGAGCTGAATAAACATTTATCACCACCAAACCAATTATGCTTCATTCAAGAAAATATGTCCGCAACATAAAAGATGTGGAAAAATGAATTAAACTTGCAACTAAAAAAAAGAATCATAAATCAAGTAATTTCACAACTTCTGTTTTTACTAAGATGTATTGGCCCTCAAGAGCAGAGACATATTTTTTGCCTTTACATTTAATTCACATGAACACATAACTAAGTATATTTTATTTTTTAATGAAAACAATTATGTTGTGTTGACAGATATCTCAATCAAGGCAAATTTATTGATTTTAGAATGTCTGACGCTCAACTTCTCAAGAGCCCCTCTTTGCGGCTGCTCGGTCTCACATTGTCTGCTGACCTAAGATGGAACAAATACACTGAGTCAATTGCTTCGTCCACCGCAAGTTGGCTCCCTGTGCCGCGCCAGGAAATTTTTCTCCCCAGAATCGATCCTCCTACAAATCAACAATTCACCCTTGCATGGAGTATTGCTGCCATATATGGTCTGGAGCCCCCTTCTGTTTGCCTCGGGGTTTTTGATAGGCTCCAGAGGCAGATATGCAATATAATTGGCCCTGCTCTGGCATCTCATCTACAGTCACTTTCTCACAGACGTGCCATCGCCTCACTCTGTCTGTTCTACAAATACTTTCATGGTAATTGCTCCGAGGAGCTGCATTCGCTGGTTCCCAGACTTCATGAGTTTAAGCACCCTACGAGGCTGGCATCCCGCTCTCACCTCTTCACTGTCGAAACTCCTAAATGTAGCCGTCTCTTCTACTCTAATAGCTTCATGTCTCGCACCTCTTGCCTGTGGAACTCCCTTCCCTATTCCAGTTTCCCTGAGAGCTATAATCTCCAGCTATTCAAGTGTAATGTCAATCAACACCTCCAATTAACTTGATCTATCTACTACACTTCTCCTCATACTCTCTTCTGTCACTCCTATCTGATCTCGCTCTATATTTTCTGTAACCCCTTGCGTCCTAGTGGCTTCCCGCCTTGCTTGGGGTGAAATGCTTAAAAAAATAGAAAATAAAAAAAATAAGGAGAAAAAAAATCTAAATTAAATTCAGTTTGAAATACACCAATGTATTTGGAGCAAACATGAACCTTACTGCCCACAAAAAAAAAACTGTTTTAAAACGGCAGTTTTTCCATTGGTACCGTTATTATTTTAACTATGTTAACTTCCTCAGCAATGTTTATTTATAATGCAGTATTTATTATGTAAGTGTACAGAAGACGCTTATCTCCCTTTGGTGGAGATATGTCACAAGGATCACATGACAGCTGCTTAATGACATCACTCTATACAGCGACAAAAGCACGGGTTATTTTCAGTTAGTTTACAGCAATCAAAATGTTGATTTCTTTAGTTGCCCCCCACTGTCTCTCATGGTCTGGGCAGAGGTTAAATCTGCCTCCCTGGCAGCTTACAAATCCATGGTGCCATTTCCCTTTGGGAATATATTTTTCCCAAATATAGAATGAAACTCCAGCTCACTCAATCTGGGAAAATTCAAAACTCGTATTTCCCATTCGTGGAATAAATTCTCATCTGGGAAACAGATGAATCCAGCTTGTTTGAATTTGGAGTCACAAACATGGCTTCTCCAGACACAGGAGTATATCCATATTATATGTAAAATGCATCTAATATTTTGGGGTTTTATTAAAATTCTAGACATTGCTTTAAAACCACAAAATGCCTAGGGAGTGAAATGAGTCACAATTAGCTACAAAAGTTATTGCCTTGTACATACTTTACATCTTTTTTAATTTAAAAATGTTTTGGAATAAAAAAATTTCTTTTCATATTTATTTCTTTATAAAATGGTAAATAATAAATCTTTATAAAAAGTAAAAAAAAATTATAATCCTGTAATTAAACATCGTCGCGTGAGTGAAGGTAGTTAAAATAATGGCGGTGTCAATGGAAAACCTGTCTTTTTGAAATGAAACGCCGTTTTGTTGTTTTTTTTTGTTTTTTTACGGGCACAAATGTCCATGTTTGTCGTATTTTGCTTATTGGGAATATTAAATTCACTCTTAACTTGGAATTAAATCCAAAAATTAAAGCTTCAAGAAAGATTTTCCATTTTTTTAAATCTTGAGATATTGTTTGCGTTCTCTACATTTGGGGGCGGGGATTATCTATAAAAATATTTTGATATGTGAGATTTTTATTTATGGAATCAAGATTGAAAGAACGTCTTTTATGAGAACCTGATCTAACCGTAAAAAAACGTAGTTCATCTGGACAAGCACAAAAGAAAGACACAGACAAACAAAAATACTAATTTAATCCTCATGGGCGAGAGAATGTATATGTTGGCCACTCAGGAAATGGATATTTACTTGACCCTCCCCCCAAACTGAATCAGGTTGTGAAATGATCAACACTCGATTTAAACCCCAATGAATCACGAAACATTAACTACTAAATTTTTGATAAACATTTCCCTTATACGGAAGGTCATATGTGACTCTTATAGACTATAACAAGAACACATCAAATACAGATTTGCGAATGACTAACAAATATCAAAAAACTTAAAAAATATACTTTTGTTAAATTACCTCAAATTATTGTCAATGACAATAAACCAGAATTGAAATCAATAGATTTTTTTTAAAAATCAGAAAAATTATTGTCTACATTAAATCATGATAATATTTTTTAATTCACTGAAAAATCTACAAACTAGCAATTGTTCTCATTACGTGCAACCGTAAAATTTTTTTTTAAAAAGGGGAGATAATTTCGCGCCATCTTGGCTTCAACTTCCGGTTGTTGTCTTGGCGTGTTAAGTATTTAGCACACCGTTTTTATAACGTTTTTTTTTAGGGTCTCCACTTGTTTAAAAATATTAAATTTGTCTCTATCATGGGAGACGTTATCGAATACAACGATGTTGTACAAGAAATTAGAGGTGCTTTGGTGAGTTGAAAAGTTTTTATTTCATTCATTTTTTCTAAGTATTGAGAATATTTTAAATAAAATGATGTCGAAAAAGAATATGACTCATTTTTAATGTCGATTTTTTAAATTTCGTATTTAAACAATTCTGTTAATTATTGCCATCTGTTTGAAATGTGAATCCTATTGTTTAACTTTTTATTTTTAAATTAAAAATATAGACATTTTAACCGTGATTTATTAGTAGCAAGGCTTGAAAACTTCCACGTGACGATGAAGAAGAGATTTTTTATTAGAATTTTGTTTTACAAAAACCCAAATAAATATTTTATTAATTCTTCCCTGATCATTCCGTTAATTCAAACTTTGTATAATTTGTACAATTAGTTTTTAAAAAGAAATCTTTTACTGATATTTTTTTATTTAAAAAAAAAATATAAAGTAGTAACTCTTCGTGTATTGTAAACAAAGAAGCATAGATCAGTGATAAATTGTCTGATTTCATTTAATATTCATGCGTATATATGTTAGAAAGTAAGTAAATACTGTTTTTTTTTGTTTCGTAAATTTTAAATTCACACGTATAAATAAATAAATATATATATATATATATATAATGTATATTACTTTCTAGTTTCTTTTTTTTTTAAATAAAAATGGCGGGTATATTTTCTTCCGGCTTTGTTTCGAAAGAAAGTTAAAGAATCAGTTTCATCTCATCTCATTTTTTTTTTCATTTTTTTTTTTTTAAACTCTTTTAATTGTAAATAATGCGTGGATGGCTACAAAACTTAATAGTCAGATAAAAAAAAAAACGTGATTTGCTAAGACCTCATAGACGCATCATCACTGTATATAATAAAAAGAAAAGAAAAAACTTATTTTGACTTCTAATCATTTTTAGTCAAATAATACAAAATCTTGATGTTTTTGAGTTAGCTTCCAAAATTTATTTAATTTAAAATCGGATAAGTTAAATTGGTAAATTAAATTTCTATTTTGTTTCCCGAGCGCTAATATCCCTTCAAATTTTTCCAAAATAGTCTTCTTTCCGTACATGAACTCAAATCAGCAATTAGATTATGAAGGAATTAACTTTTTAGATGTTAACGACCAGAAAAAAATCGGACTTCTCTGTCTTTCGTCAATCATTACCGGCTTATTGAGAAGAGAAGTAATTCACTGCGGAAAGATTTTTGGTGTAGTCATAAAATTTGGGCCTATTTACTTCTGTGACAGACTTTCCTTGCAGAAAATCACTACGCACTACCGTGCTTAAAGAAATGTAAATTTTTTTTTTTGGTAAGTTTTATTTATAACAAAAACAAATTAAATAATACAATAGAACCTTTTTTCCGTTTCGAATAGCAATGGCAAATTAAAAGAACAAATTAAATAATAAAAATAAAGCATTTTTCATTTTGTAAAATTGAAAATAAAAATATAATTAATTTGCTTCGACCAAAAGAATGTGTGCTAGCAGGTGGTGCTGGGACTCATACTGTCTGCATTTGCACAATCCATCAGAATATGAAGTTGTTGATTGCAGAATCTGATCTTGATAAACTGACTGAAGGAGAAAATTATCATTTGACAGATAACCATCAATGCATACTTGCTGTTACATGCAATGAAGCATCAGCAAGTTGCTGCTTGGGTGACTGCTCAACTTGCAGCAAACTGATGGATGATTTTTTTTTTTTATATGGAAGAAATTTTTTACAAAAATTCAGTTGATGATTTTGTATACAAACAGTGGTTATCAACTGATAGAACCACTCTACAAACTATCACAATCCACAGAGGAATTCATTGAAACTTTCCATGCAGGCCTTCAAACATTGAAGAAGCATAATTTCATTGCCAAAGCACAATCAAAATTTTTGTTCTGATAGAAAAGATTCTTTGAAGGTTGGTGAAGTCTTAGCAATAGCAGATTTTGCTGAGAATTATTCATTTATTTTGCAAGATACGGCTCAAGGATTCCACTGGAATAATGATCAAGCTACATTGCATCCATTCATCTGCTACTGTAGAAATAGAATTGACCTTGAGCATATTAATTTTGTAATAATATCTGATTGTCTCAAGCATGACACAGTAGCTGTCCATTTGTTTCAAAGAAAGCTTATAGAAAAATTAAAAGAAATTCTTGGTTTTGATGTCCAAAAAATATTTTTCTCTGATGGTGCTGTTTCACACTATAAAAATTTTAAAAACTTTATAAATTTGTGCAACCATAAATCTGATTTTGGTATTAATGCACTGTGGCACTTTTTTGCTACTTCTCATGTGATGGGTTAGGTGGCACTGTTAAAAGGTTAGCAGCAAAAGCTAGCCTGCAGCGACCCTATAATGAACAAATGACGCCAAGATAGCTGTATTTTTATGCGAGAAAAATATTTCCTGAATACATTTCTTATATTCCTCAACTGCAGAATGGATGAATGAAGCAAACATCTTAGAAGATAGATTTAGCAATTCCTCCACTATTATAGGAACACAGAAATTACATACTTTCATTCCTGTCTCTCAGAGAGGAGTGGAAGTAAAAACAGTGTCAACACAAAATAAAGGAAGGATAGTTTGAAGACATTAACTGATTTGTGACAGCACTTCATGATAGGAATTGGTGGTTAGGATGCGTACTTGAAAAATACCCAGATAATGGAGAGGTGAAATTGATATTTTCACAACCAAATGGACCCTCTCCATCTTTCTATTATCCATCACATCCAAATATATCAATTTTGAAATATTCTGATATTCTTAGCTCAGTTGATCCAATAACTGAAACAGGAAGAACTTATAAACTTTCAAAAAATGAGATGAAAAATGCAAATATTTTAGAAAGAAAGATTTTGAAAGAAAAATCGAAATAAATACATTAAAGTTCATTATAAAAAAGTTTCAGTGAAACAGATTTTTCATTTTCCATTTTGAAAAGTATCCCAATGAACACAAATTGATTTCTTGTGGATATAGTGTATCATGTCAAAAGTCAAAGAAACTGTTTACCATCAACATCAAATGCCATTTATTCTTTTGATACTATAACCTAATTAAATCTCGACACTTTTTAGAATTCTTTCTTTATTACATCATTTTTTCCATATCAAAATCTGTGTTGTATAAGAAAAAGTATGAAAGGAATCCTAAAAACAGTTTGATCTCCAGAAAAAAAATTATTTTGATTTCACAACCAGAATTTGCATAAAATTCAACATGTCAAGAATTTTTTTAGGACATTCATTTTTAAAGTTTTTTCCTAAAAAAAAAGAAAATGTAACCATAAACAGCGGGAATTGTTTGTTTTTTTTTTTTGTTTTTTTTTTGTTTTTTTGTAGATTTAGAATATCAAACATCAACCAAAATTTGTTCACCATTGAGGTCACATATTTTTTTATGCTATAATTTAATTAAACCTTAACACTTTTCAGAATTCTTTCTTTATTATATCACTTATTCCATAACAAAATCTGTGTTGCATTAAAAAAAATAAAAAATGAAGAACATTCAGTTTCATCAGCAGAAAAAATTGTTTTATTGATTTCATGACCATGGTCCTTATGTGAATATTAATCAGCATTAAAATAGCTTTACAAAGATATACAACTTGACCATATTGTGAAAGATATCAAAATGTTTTTATATGAAGTAGCAGATACTACATTCCGCCATTTTGAATTTTTCCCAGTTCTATAAAACACTTGTAGCAACAGTTCTAGTGAAATGCCCATCATGAAATTTGTAACATATAGTCATAAGATAGACAAATCTTTTGTCAAAATTAAAAAAAAAATTAAAATAACGTTTTTTGAGATGAGTCAGATCAAAGGACAGGGTCAACTTTTTTATTTGACCTCTAAAAAAAATCCCCAGATAAAATTGTAGATCTATCAAAGTACTTTAGAATGATATATGAATGAACTTTGTAGGTCCATAAACAACTGAAATATCATCTTTTCAAGTTGGTCATTATTCACATTTTCGTAAAAAGGTCAGAGGTCATATCTCAGGAACCCCTTGACCGTGAGATGTATAACAGGTGCCATTCAATTCCTTTTATGGAGATCTATAAGTGTAGCAAATTTGGACCCCCCCCCCCAAAAAAAAATTTCTTGATTTGACACGGAATGAGCCATATATATATATTGGAAGTAAAGTCTGTTGATCCGCAGTCCTTTAAAGGGGCTGTGGTGAAATAATTTATTACATGGAACCTTAAAGTGGTCTGTTTTTATTTAAATTATTTGCTCTGGATTTACATTGAGCTCTCTGGATTTTATCCTCCTTAGGTTTACCCATACGGATTACCTAGTTTTTCTTAAACTGTATATATATATATATATATATATATATATATATATATATATATATATATATATATATGGAAGAGAATGAGGACTTTAGTGAGGAGAAAGGACAATAAACAGTTTTCAGGAAAATTGAAGATGGCAATTGACATTGCATTTAAATTTTTGAAGATCATAGGTGACATGTCTCTTTAAAGTCATAACTGACTAAGTAGAGTTTCCTGCAGTTGGTTACCATTTCTTTCTGTAGTAGACCAGTTGCCAACCAAGGCTATAAAACTCAGTCTGTCCTGCTATTCAACCCAGAGCTGGAGGTGGGGTGATGAATTCATATCCTTTCCCAAGGGTATTTGCACATAAGTGAATGTAACAAACCCAACTGGAATTTGATCTCAACTCATTCTGAGCAGATATCCAATTACACTACCGGCACATCTAAGCTTAAAGCACTTGGTATTCCCAAGCGGTCACCCCTCTAGGTACTGACCAGGCTCAGTATTGCTTAACTTTGCTGATCATACAGGAAGCGGCATTTCAACATGATGTGGCTGTAAGCCAGTTTGTCTGAAGAAGGGTTGGAGTTAAGTATATGTAACAATCTACAGCTGTTTATAATGAAATGCATCTCCCTCAGAGCAACTGGCATATGTTGTTAACAGATTACTGGAACATCCGGATCCATCTTTTATAAGAACTAGTGTATCTGTACCATCAGAAATTACGGTAATTGTTAGAAAATTTTAATTGTGAAATGCAGTGTAACAAAAGTCTTGAAAAACTGTTTTGAGATTCAATAAAGCAGAGGTAAAGAATTGACAGCTAAGATAGATGCCAATGAACTGTTTAATCAATCTGCACACTGCATGTGTTTTTAAACGTTTGGTGGTATCTATGATTCATTCATTACTCCTAGTATTATATAAATTGCATTTTGCTCAAGATCTGTTCATGTTAAAAAGTTGATGTGTTTAATATAACACTGACATGGAAATATCTCTTGGAATATAAAGTTTAGCAACAGAGCAACAAAGCTTATTTCAAGATCAAGGTGATCACTTGAGGTATCTGAGCACCTCACATGAAAAGCTTGAACAAATAAGACTGCAATCTAAGATAGATCTGAATAAAGGAACTGATTAATTAACAGTTCATTTTGCTTGGGAACTAATTTTGTCTAAATGCAAATAAATATTTTATTTGTATACATTATTAGCATGACTAATGACAGTAATCACTCATAAATTTACTAACTTAAGCTGATTTACCTCCCTTACAGAAGGGGCAGGAAATATATAATTAAATGCACGTTGTCCTCTCAGTTTTTGCATGGCTGAAGACCTTATATACAGATACAGTTGATTGATTAATTCCTTGTATTTTTTTTTTTTTTTTTTTTTTTTTAGAATCCCGGGAAATTAAAGCTACAGTCTGAGAATGTGGTCTTCAAGAATCTCAAAACTGGTAAAGTGGATCAGTACACAAGTGGGGATATTGAAGCAGTGAACTGGCTGAAGAGAGCTCGTGGGAACTGTTTGAAAATTATGCTACAGAATGGCATGATTCATCGGTATGATGGCATCAAGGAATCCGTAAGTATTAAGCTTCATTTATCAGAAAGTTTTCAATTCTAGCTCCCTCAGTTCATGGCCTATACTCAAAAATCTATGCACAAATGGAAATCCCATCAATCAAATTTTTAAGAAATGCATAATAAAATAAGTAATTCTTGCTGAAGTTCCAAAAAAAAAAAAAAAAATGGATTCTGGGCATAGTATTCTAGGCTGGTAGAATGGCATGTGTGAATATCAAGATTCTTCTGCTATTACTACTGCCTTTATTTTCTTCATCCTTTTCCCTCTCTCCTTTTTTTTTTTTTTTTTTTTTTTTTCTCTCTCCCCCCCTTTTTTTTTTTGTTTGTTTTTTTTTTAGAAAATTTCGTACAAAGCCTGGTTTTTCAATAAACCTAAAATAATATAGCCGAGAAAAATGAAGTAAATAGATCTTCTACTTCAATTAAATAAACACAAATTATTCAAAGTGTAAAAGCAAGAATCGTCCTAAACTCTGGAACTAAAATGCATAGCACCAGATGGAATAGAGAGCTTTTGAAATATGCCTCCTGTTCTGAATCTTAGTTGCATCATGAGTTGGCCTGTAGTATAGAACACCATGTTCATAAACAAAATTTACTTAAAAAAATTCTGGAAGGTGAGAGATAATGGTAGCAGGTTTTGTAGACTGATAGATATGTTCATGTTTTCTCCTGTATACAAAAAGAAATGAGTCAATTTTTACACTTTCATTGTTTACAAGTTTAGTCCCCCCATCAAAAACAGTTTAATTATATATTGACTAAACTATATATTCATTTACTGTAGTCAAAAAGTACAGCTGTATTTAAAATAAACATTATTTGGATAAAACTGATGTTTTACTTAACTGTATCCGATATTAATCTGTCATGTGTATGACGATAAATTATATCCAACAGCAAGGCCTCTGACCAGGAGGTTTTGAGGAACATCAAACCACCTCTTAATTGCCGGTGTTCCCAGGTCCACCCTGACCTGAGGTGGTAGCACCTGTTAGGGTCCCAACTATGCACAAATAGTTAACCCCCTAGAGTCAGAACAATATGAAAGTGTAAAAATAGGTTTTAATACCAGCAACACATTTTTGCAAAAAAATTACTGCCAGCAAGAAAAAAATTATTACCAACAATACGTTTTTAAAAAAAAATATTACCACAAAACTTTTTAAAAAAAAAAAAAAAAAAATGTAATAAAAAATCTTGTCGGCATTAAGTAACCTATTGAGGTTGATATGCCGCAAAACAAACCAATATTAATGCATGTAATATTCACATATTGATACTGTATTATAAAATACAAACATAGCAAATATGCATCTTTTCCATTGTTCAGTTGTTTATGGCTGTACACATTTACACGAGTATAGCTTGACAATACTTTTATCATTCTGATTTGCTTTTTTAACTGTAAGATGAGATAAAGAGATAGAGGAAAAGAGGTTAGTTTATTGTAATTTGGCTTCTCAAAAAAGGAACTCACATGATATGCAAAACTGTGCATATATGGTAATTCCACCAAGAAGAACATTACTTTAGTCTGATGAAGACCTTTTAGAGTAGGAAACATGTTACATGGACTTTTTTTTTCCATTTTAATATTTAATTACCTAACCTTGTTCTAATATATGAAAATTTATATATGATTTTCTTTCATGCATAATATAGCCAACAATATTACGTTTTATATGTATGGATGCATGGCTTAGTGGTTAGAACATTTGCTTTTTGACCATGAGACCTTGCTTTGAATCTCAACATTGTTCATGTGTCAGGGAAGGTGACTTCTTGATGTTAGTGATCTGGAAAGTGCCTGGAAGCCATACCACGGGTTGATCTAAGCCCTGTGAGTGAAATTGGGTAGATGGTTTTGCTAGCATGCAGTCAGTCCTCATAACTTAGGGTTTGAGCACACTGGCCTTGTTCAAACTGCTAATCACACCAGATTATGTGCTCTCTCCCAGAAACTGTAACTACAGTCTGCTCATTTTAGTTGCATTATAAACACCAGGTGGGCTCTGTGGGTGTTGAACAAACACAAATGTGCCTGAGCAAGCGTCTGCAATAGGAATTGGCTAGCTGTACTAGCAGGTGAGTGTATGCAGGAAACAAGTAGATAACCACACATGCAAATAAGGATAAGCAACGCCTGAAGGTGCTATTGTTACCAGATGCCATTGAACACTTTTTGCCACACTGGCACCCCTTTTCTGGTGAAAGGCTAGACTATTTTGATCTTGGCTGGATAGGTTATGCACCCTTTGGAGAGCTCTCTTGGACTCCCCTTTTTGTATAAGAGTTCCTATTTTACAAACTACAGCTACCAACCACCTGATTATTGTGTGAAAGCGCAGTCATAGTCAGTCACTGTCCACCTGAGATTTGGCTTAATGTGTGTGTATATACATACACACTATGCTTCAAAAATTTGAAGTGACCCTGGTAATTTTTCAAATTGGCCACAAAACTAGTTTTTTACTTTAAATAAGGAAAAGTTATTATACATGGTTTAAAAAAAAAAAGTGTGGCCTGATTTTTCATTATGACAAAAAGAAAAAAAATCATTTTATTAAATTTTACTCTTGTCAAAATATCCTCCTTTTGCCTTGATTACTGCCGCACAAGCTTTTGTCTTTCATTACAAAACATCCTCAAAGTATAAGTTTGATAATTGATTCCATTCTTTTCCCAATGACTATAAAAGCTCTTTTTCATTTTTCTTTCACTCTTCTGTCAAGTTGATTTTAATTTTTGGGATGGCTTCAAACTTTTGAACTGTAGTGTATATATTCTACATATGGTTGCCCCCTCCCACCCCCACATAGATATTTTACCACTACTGAAAAAAAGAGAAAGTTCTGCTACTCAAGTTTCACACTACCACAATCATCAGGTGTGTGTGTAGATGTTTAAAATTTAATTACTGTGGCTTGTTTTTTAAGAGTATGCTATTTTAATTGTTTTATTTTCTGACAGGAATATGAACGGCTCTCGGCTTTTGTGTCAAAAAACTACAACACATCACTCGAAAAAGTAGAATGCTCTGTGAAAGGTTGGAACTGGGGTATTGCCCGATTTAATGGTGAGTATTTCTGTTTAGCTTTGTCTGGTACAAGGCTACAAGTGTGGAGTATTAAGCAGGGATTGGACTAGTGGTAGAATATGAATTTTCTATCCATTTCTTTTAAGTGAAAAATATTGTTTACTCAAGAAAGTACAAGACCACAGATAAGTATGACTGCTAATATAGATCTGTGCCTAGATATACTTTATTTCCGGTTTTGTTGTCACTTGATCTCCAAAAAAACCTACTCCCTTTTACTTTTACATTACCCTTCAATTAAAGTTGATGCCACTTAGAAGACTGAATATTAAAGGGAACTATTTGTTGGTCTATGAAAGAGAAACATTGGTGATCAAGATAAAACCATCACTCCCCCCGCCCCCTTCTATATGGATGTCCATAATATCACACACAGGAATACAGGTTGTAATAAAAAATCTTACCAAAAGTAAAATGATTTTTTTAAAAAATTAATGCATACAAAGATATAGTGAATTTGTGACCTGGAAAAAGTGGAGAGAATTTGTGACATGAAAAAAGGTGGAGAAATGCCCCCAAAAATGCTGCTTCATTTTTTTTTCTTTTTTCCCAAAAACTATAATTAATTTCTCATAGCTATGTGATTCTATTAAATTCATGAAATAAAAAAATTCTTTGTCATATGATAAGGAAATTTGCAGCCCTGCAAATTAATACAAAGGTTCGCACTCTGCCAGAAAGGACATTTTCTTAAATCTGTTAATTGCACAGGCCGGGGGACATAATTCACACTGTGTTTTGTCCTGTTTTATACAGGATATCTACTCAAAGCATAGTAGGAAATAATGTGAGATGAGAATTCCATTGATTCCATAGAAATTACTTTGCATTTCAAATATGGAAACGTCATCAGATATAGACTTTCATGATCTTAACAAGATGTGGTAAATAATATATACGAGCATGACCAGTTAAAATTTCAATTGGATTTTCCAATGAATCTTAATTCTCCCTTTAATGATTTGAATAATCTCATGGTGAGTTCTATGACAATAAAATATCTGTTGAGCTTGACAATAAAATATAACAAAATAACAATGATAAATATTAATACTGGTTATTCTTTTTGGAAGTGAATACAAATGGAAAGATTTGAAGTTGACAACTTTTCCCATTTCATTGAAGCGACCATTAAACACTTCTATCTTCCCTGCTTTTTTCTTTCATTCATTTTCTCACTGAAACCAAGTAGATGTCTTTGTTTTTCTAAGCAATCAAATCAGAATAGTCCATTATTTATGAAGTATTTACAGAAGACATTAGACACTTCTATCTTTCTTTCTAGCCAAAGCCCCAGCAACTGAAAAATGACACTTTTTATTGCAGTTTCTACCGATTCTCAGCCTTTTAACTAAGATTAAAGTGTAGTAACTGTTCCTATCAGCTCTGATCCGATTTTCTCTCTCTTTCCTTCTTTCTTCCATTTTATCTCTGAAACCAGGTAATTTCTTTTCTCTTGTTTCCATGTAATCAAAACATGGAATAGTCCACTATTCCTGAGGTTTGGCAGGATATAACAGTTGAACTAACTAATAAAGAGAGGGACAGGTAAAATTCTAATAGAATTATATTGTAGTTGGTTCATGTAGTTTTGTAAGTCATGATAGTTTTTTTTTGGTAGCTGATACAAATTGTAGGCTACCATCCTTACATTTGGTTGTTTTTGTCGAGACCCCATCTCTAGAAAGACTGCCACCTTAGGCTAAAGACTTCTTTCAAGCCATGAAGTGAATTATCCTGCACCAGACCCCAACTTGGAATTTGAATTTCTGCAGACTCTCTTAGACACTCCAGTTGCAGATTTTTCCTTTACTCCTGAAGCCTTTCTCACGATTGGATATGGCTGCAAGGTAGTGGAGGTTTAAAATCAGATTTTTTTCTTAGATGAACTATCCTCACACGTTGACATATTTCATTTATTCAAAGTGTATGGATACATGCATAAACACATATATTTAACACTGTATGCAAACAGTTCGCCATCAAATGTACTGCGTGTTTTATTATATATATTTTAAAAATGATAATAGAAATAATTTACAGAGAACTGAGACCAATCTTTCTTAAGTTCAAATGAACACAATTACAGTTTTCCAGCCACTGAGCAGACAAGGAAATTGTCTCATCGTTTCCTATGGCATCTTTCTGGAAGTGTCTTTTCATGAAAATTGACTTTCCCAGACATCAGATCTCGAGACTCTGGTTTGGGTATCGAGGTTCTGGGGACAACAATACAGGACCTAACAGTGTGGAAAGGGATTGTCAGTGGAGTTCTGACCAACCATGGGGAGGTTAAAGAATGATGATGAGTTTTATAAACTTGTAAATATAAAATTATTCTTGTGAATAAGCAATCTAATAAATAGTGTTTAACATCTTTGTTGTCATTCTCAAAAAACAAAGATTCTAAAAATACCTTTTTAAAACTATAAAAATTGGCAGGCAAGTATACACCAATAGTATGGTCAAGATATAAAAAAAAAAACTGTCTTTTTTACAAGCATAAATGTTGAACTTTTTTTCTTTTTTTTTTTTTTTCCAATTGAGATGTGTTAATAATTTTCCTCTCTGTTTCAGGCAACGCTCTGAATTTTGAGGTGGATAAAAATATGGCCTTTGAGATTCCACTCACCAATGTTTCCCACACAACCACAAACAAGAACGAAGTGACCCTAGAATTCCACCAGAATGACGATGCAGCCGTCTCATTGATGGAGCTTCGTTTCCACATTCCATCAGAACTGGAGAAGGACGTTGTCCAAGACTTTTACAAAAATGTTATGTCCAAAGCAGACATTATCCAAGCCACTGGTGACGCTATTGTTACATTTGACCAAGTCCAATGTCTCACTCCCAGGTTCATTTCCATTTCGTCTTTTGAGTATTTTATTAGTAAAAAATATGTTCTGCATTCGGCAATAATGTATCAAGCAGCCTTTTTCAAATCATAAACATGGAGTTAGTCCCAGTTTGGGAGCTTAAATATTATTTATGCTAACTGAGGGCATTCCAATTTTCTTATTTATATATATATATATATATATATATATATATATACACACACACTTGCTGTAACGGTATACAAGGAGGGGGCTAGAGATGCATATTATAAGGGCATTTAGGGAAGATAACAGTTGACCCTAATCTTGAAGAAGCTAAGATATTATGTAAGTGTGGAGAGCTTGCCTGTTTTGTTTTTCTTATTGCCCATTCAATACAAAGCCCAGCTGCCACTCACAGTAGAGGGATACTAAATGTGGGTGTTTTAAGAGTGTATAGGGAGGGAACAACAATTGCATATTATGAGGATATGTAGGATAGATAACAGTTAGCTTTAGGCTTGAAGTGTTTAAGATCCTAAAGATTATGGTGTGGGGATCCTCTAAAGAGTTTCTCCCAAGTGGAACTTACTCCAATGGAATATGGAGGAAATGAGGATGTGGTATGGTGGGTCCTATCTGTGAACGTCTGGATTGGTGGAACCAAGGAATGTAGTTCTAATGGACATTGCCATGAAAATAGTGATAGAGTAGCAAGTGGCTAGCGACATTTTGCCTGTCTAGGGAAAGTGATTTTACAGTGGGGAAATAATTCATAACCGAAAAGGCTGTGTAAACCCTTTTGAACTGTGTTATGGTTTAAACATGAAGTTCTCTCTCTCTCTCTCTCCCCTCCCCGTCTCTCACACACACACAGCAGTGGATCTTTAATAAAAGTTCCACTTTAAATTGGGAATGAACTTTAGTCCCAATAGACATTTCAAGCAAAAGAACATTTAACAATGGATTAAAACCCAAGTTTAATGTTCATGGTTAATAAAAAATAATTAAGAATTTAAATCCTAATTTTAATGCTAGATCTGAGTAAGGCATTGCCTTTTAGTGCAGAATGATTAAAGAAATTTCCGTTCAGCAAAGGTTTCAGAGGAATGTCAAAAGACTAAGGTCATGGCGGGAAGGGGAATACACTCACATCATGTACATAAATAATGTTACTGAAATGCAAATTCATACATTTTTCTTGGGAGTTAACTTTCAACCTGATTTACATGTGTGGTGGTTGGGCAAATAGTAACAGTTAAAGAATACACTAACATAAAGATGTAGACACACACACACACATGTGATGTGTCCTGGAAAAAGAGATATTTGAACGAAGTAGCTGAGTGGTTTTGGCTACTATAACCAAGTAGAACACGGTAGCAGTAATCGGCTGCCACATGTCATTGTCGCAGGTAAGAAATGTAGGTCAATGGTGTAGTCCAATGAGTGTCATTATAGACTTAGCTCTCAGACTAAGGCTCTTGGCTCTTCTTCTGACTCTCCTATGCGTCCGTCGATATTTATGATGGGCACCAGCCAATCACACTTCAGTGAGGGCGAACACGGTTGTATGCATATTCCATTATATCATTATGCAAAAAAGGGGTGAAGAGAAAATAGCAAATTGATAGAAAATAATTGGAATAAAATGAATGAATATATAATACAAATCATATATATTGCTCTGCGCACTATGTATTGAGCTCTCTTTATGAACCTATCTTTTTAATATTTTATATGCAAAAGACCTACTTGGATTATACTTTCTACTTAGGGATTTGATATTTTGTGTGTGTGTGTGTATATATATATATATATATATATATATATATATATATACACACAGTGTAACCCGGATATAAGACGGGTGTCGGGACCGGAGAAGAAGTCTCTTATATCTGGGTTGGGTTTAATTTATATACATTAACACAGGCTCTAATTTGGGACCAGAGAAAATCTCTTTATATCCGGGTTACATAATATATATATATATATATATATATATATATATATATATATATATATATTTGGTTGGATAGATGTGAGTTTGTCCTCTATCTCTGATATTGAGCGCTTTCTAATAAGTACCACACATATAATATATAAATAATATAAATATATATATAAAACATGTAAATTTTGTTGAAGCCTTGTGGCTCTCAGACATGTGAACTTTATCATATTTGATGCTTACATTATGCAAGTTTGGCTACCCCTGGTATGTGTGCATACACTTTTTTCTCTCTCTCTCTCATTTTATGATATTTCTTTCTTTTTTTTTCTCTTTTAGGGGTCGTTATGATATCAAGATTTACCCCACCTTTTTACAACTCCATGGTAAAACCTTTGATTACAAAATTCCATATGCTACTGTATTGCGACTTTTCTTGCTGCCCCACAACGATCGGCGCCAGATGTTCTTTGTGGTAAGTTGGCAATTTCTTCAATGTACTGTTTACTTGAGTCGGTGTGATGTTAGTCATTTGTTTAATATTGTCATGAAAAAAACATTTTAAAAAAATAAGATAAAATACGACTCTACACACAGCAAATTCTGACATTTCAGAACCGTGTAAGAGACAAAATTCTCAATATTATGTCTTAATGCCGCCTTCTTGGTCAGTATACATGAGCAAGTATTTTTTTTATTACTGCCCAGAAACTTTACCACTATTTGATCACGTAGTAATTTTTCAGCACTAATAGTAAATGTTCCTGCTAATGTAACCATGAAATCTGCCTGTGTCTGGGACACTCACAGAGAAGTGGGCAGTAAATTATTTTGAGTTTTAAACATGTTGAGGTTTTTAATGACCATTAGTGAAGTCTGTGAATTAGAATCTTCAAAATGGCAATTTTTCAGAGTTCATGTGGAGATGTTGGAAATAGTGTTAAAGTAGAATTTATAAGGAACCAGAAACCCCAATCCTAAACAGGAAAAAGGGATAGACCTCTACTCCTGTTTAAAAGGACTGGGAAGGAGTGTGAACCAGTAGCTATGAAGCTGTTTATTATGAAAATTAACTTAAGTGCAACATTGTGTGAGTATGCACATACAGTGATGATGACGGCTATGGCAATAATAATAATAATTGAGAGAACTGTTCCAGTGATATGATTAGTAGCCTGTTATTTATCAAATGATCAGGTCTTTGTGTATATATTATTGTGCAACAGAGAAATCCAAAATTGTGTCATGTTTATAGTCTATTTCAACAGACACCAAGTATGTCAGTCTAATTTAACCTTGACAAATGGACTGTTTCATCTGTCAGGGTTGAATAAGACTGATGTATTTAGTGTCAGTTGAAATAGACTATACGCATGACGTAACTTTTAGATTTCTCTCTAATTTATATGCTCTGTTATAATAAATACAATATAATAAGCGCTTTTTGTGGATCAGTTTTAATATTTGATATAAAGACCCATATGGATTATATACCAACAGTTTTTTTTTTTTTTTTTTTTTTATTATCTCTGCGTGTGTTTGTATAATGGAAATAAAAAAGTTAAAACCAATTTTAGCCTTCAGGATAAAAAAAAGCCAACTGGTTTTGCTCTCACTCAACAGAGCTGAAGTCAAGGGAATAAATAGAAACATAAAATATAAAAAACAAACGTACAATATGCAAAAGGCGAAATAATCTAGATTGAAATAACATCAAGTCCTAACAGACACTCGCTCTGCTTACAGAGGGAGGGCTGTCTGAACCTGACATAAATTGTTTCCAATGCCTTCAAATATAAAAATGAGCGAGCATGATTCAAGATGGTGAAAGAGTCTGTGCTGAAATTGATGCCACAATTTGGACTTTTTATGAAGTGCTCTGTAATGGCAGAACCATACGTGTTGTTGCCAATGTCACTCAATTGGAATGTACCATTCCTTATTTTCTTAGGTACTTGCTAATGCATTCTAATGTCTAGCCATAGGATAGTTTTACCTATGTAGTCAGCTCCACAACTACATCTAAACTGGTAAATCACATTACTAGGGGCAGGGGGCAGGACATCCTTTTGAGTAGACAACCATGGAGACCTGGTGGAAAACGCAACACAAGTACATTAGACAAAAAATAACAATTCTCAATTTGTTTGGCAAAGTTTTCTCTTACTGTACGCAATCAAGGCAAACAAAAATAAGTAGGGCATTTAGTAGCTGTACTCAGTTTAAATTCAGAAAAATTAGATATTTTCTTACTAATGGCTGACCTAATTACATCTAATGGATACCAATTATTAGATAAAGTTTTGATTTTGAGCAAATCATTAGTGCTCTGTTTTAGGGTACTGATTTAATTTATTTTACACTTTCTAGGACAAAATGCATCTTACTGAATATATAAACTGGTGAACGTTGGTTTTTTCAGTAAATCGATGTGATGAAACCAGATGGAGTGCTGGTTACCAAAAACATCTAAAAATGATGAAGTGGAATTGGTTTCAGTTTCCATTGTATATTTCAATACTGGATGCATATCGTTGAGTAAAGAAAAAATTTATTAGCCTCTGTTGCATTATCAAAGAGGCAAAATGTGTCATCTACCTAACAATAATACACTAATGGTTTAATGGTTCCAGAAAATAAATTATTTTCATAGAAACCCATAGAGATATTAGCAATAGTCAGTCCCAGGACTGACCCCATAGAGACTCCATCGATTTACCTATATGTTGTGCCATTGAAAGTAAATTCAAACGACATAACAGCAAATCTTATTAACTCTACAAAAATATTTTCAGGAATGGAAGGCGGGAATATCTGGCTACAATATAATCCCTATGGCAGAGAGGAAGGAAATTTTTAACTGTGCAAAATACATCAATTCAATTCAGTTAAATAATATATATATATATATATATATATATATATATATATATATATATATATATATATATATTTTCTTTGCTACACAGGAATTACCATGTTTCAAAACTGAAGTGAATCCAAAATTCACTTGAAGATGAAACAACTAATGCTTTTAATTATATTAATAAATTTGAAGTTTTAGCTTCAGTTTTTGAAACATGGTAGCTCTTGTGTAGCAAAGGAACCATATTTTTAAATCAGTTAATTTATAATATTTATGCCCTGTAAATTTACATTGAGCACTGTTTTGTAAAAATAACATTATGAATAAGGACACCAGATTATATATATATATATATATATATATATATATATATATATATATATATATAAAAACTCATCCACAGACTGTTTTGCTGTATCACAGCTCATCAATGTAACTAAAAATGTGATTGTTTCAAGCCAGGATCGAGAGATCAAGATCCAACCAATTTGACATCAGTCAAGGACTCATACCCTTAGGCCATCAGTGCACAGTACAGAAAAAGAGAATTTTAATGCATTATGTACAAGATGAGCATTGCAGACTACCAGAGGGCTCAATTCATAGTGAAGAGCTTTTAACATTAATCAGCAGTAGCTGACAAATTCCTGTTGAAAGTGCTCAACCTACAAAAGTTTTTATGTGGTGCGTTTCATCCTTATTTTTTTTTTTTTTTTTTTCAGCTGGTTAAGAATATTGCAATCTCAGTATTTCCGTTTTTGTTTTAGGTCAGCTTGGACCCTCCAATTAAGCAGGGTCAGACAAGGTACCATTTCTTGATTTTGCTCTTCAACAAGGACGATGAGATGACAACTGAACTTGCCATGACAGAGTAAGTAATTTTATGGCAGAATTTTTTACATGTTGAATTATTATTATTATGTTTTTTGTTGGGACCTGTAACATCAACTTGGTCATTATACTCACATTGTTTCAGCCATTTTACTCTACAATCTTCTTCAGGTGTCTGCTGTTGTACTCTGTAAAACTCCTCAAATTCTGGGTACAGACCTTGGGTTTAAAGCTCCCAAAACACCTAATTGTCCAAAAGACATATGCCCTTGTACAGTGTTTCTAAAAAAAATTTTTTGCCCAATACATCCTTTTCACCATAAATCAGAATGTCATTCCTGTCTCCTTTCTAAGATTGGACGACTCAAAATATACATTCCAAATAACATACTCATTGGTGAAAATCTTCTTCCTTTTCCATATGGGTGCAGATACATTTGCATAGATAATTTTTTATAGGGGAGGAGTGTTTTTTTTTTTTTTTTTTTTTTTTTTCTCGCCCCTGAAATCCTGGTTGAGAACCTCTAGTGGAGTAAAGCATTGCTTAAAACATCCCCAGTACCTTGACAGTTGTGAGTTCAATTCTTGGTAGTGCTAAAAAGTCCCAAGCTGTGATTCAATAGGAGAAACAGACAAGTGACAAGAAAATATGAAGGCTTACAGCCACATCACATTGAAACAACAGTTTCTGTACAATTACCAAAGTTAAGCAACATGTAGCCTTCCAGTACCTGGATTGGTGACCATTTGGGAATACCAGGTGTTGTAAGCTTGGGTGTTGGGGCAGTTAAATGGATAACCGCTTGGAATTATTAATCAAGGAGCTGAGTTAGAATTCTTCTTACAGTCATTATATTCACTTACATATAAATACCACTGGGAAATGTATTAATATCTCTTCTCCTGGTTATGGGTTAATTAGTAAGACTTCTCTCACTGAAACATTATCATATTCTCTCCTCCCCCTCCTACCCAACCAAAACAAAAATTCTTACAATTTAATATTTTCTGGTTTTACATAGCCTGCAAACAGTTGATAATCTGTAGAAAACAAATGAATTGATCAAAAAAATGAAATATGCCCTGAAAATGGAATGTGGAAAATCTACAGTGGGAGTAATAGATTGGGTTACAAATTCTGAGACTCTATACAGGAGTTGAATCATTGTGAGTAAAATAACCAAGACAGTCATGCTGGGCTGAAATAGAAGACCTCTAAGTATTTACTTTTGTTTTTTTCAAGTGTGGTTATCTAGGGTATTTTTTTGTGAAATGTCCTGACACTTTCATTTCTAATAATCTATCACTAGATCCTAAAGACTCTCACTCTTAGACTTATTCTCTCTCTCTCATTCACGCACACACACACACACACACACACATAACTGGTACTTCAGGTACAGGAGTTTCATGTAGAGCTTATTTTTTGCTTATATTTTAGTAGTAGTAATATATATATATATATATATATATATATATATATATATATATATATATAATCTCATAAGTAAGATGGTGAACAATGCAAAATAACAGAGCTATTAAGTACATATATTAAATATTCATAAAAAACCCCACACTGACAACATAACTGAGTTTCATGCACTGTGCGACTGATTGCATGGTACATGAAACCCAGTCATATTGTCAGCATGGGTTATTTGTGTGTATGTATGTATGTATGTATGACTTCCTTGCTTGCTTCATTTTTAATGGATACCCATGTTTGAGTAGGTAGGGTATTTCTTAAAAATAGCATTTAAGCAGTAAATAAAAACATGTTGGAATGAATAAAATTATTTCAGCCAAAGAAATTCTTTCACACATATTTGGTCGAATTGTATCATCAGGTTCTGACTGTACAATTTTTTATTAACTTTTCCAAATTTTTGAATTAGATGTTTTAGGTAATCTTTAAGTTTAAGCAATTTTCTTCTTTTTTCTTTTGTGTACTTTTGAATGTTGCTACATTCATTTTTAAGGGATTTGTTTTGTGTCTGTTTATGTAACTGTTGGTTAATTCCAGCATTTCATTCATAAATTGCTTGTAAACATGAAAGAAAGCATTTGTATTTATTCAGATAGTTAAACATTAGAATTTCAGTCATTTTTAAACAAATGAAAGATGGTGAAACTGAATAACACGTAACAGGTGTTGACAGAAATAAAATACATGCATATTTGCATGAATGAAAAGCATAACCTGGTAATTTTTCTAGGAAAAAATTAGTTGTTTCTCTATGGCTTTAATGTTCACTATTTATGAAATGTTGAAGGGGTTGTGGACATTCAATATATTTGTTCAAAGAATATGACTGCAAAAAGATAAGAAATTAGTCAGATGTGAGAGCAGGCTTGTTATAGTTAAGGAAAGTTTTACAGATTATAGACGCCAACTTGTTGAAGGCCAAGTCAAATGCAAATTTCAAACACTTTTCTGCACTACATAAGACAATATCCCTAAACAGAACTATTTTTTATATGAAAATCAAAACAATCCTCACATAAAAGAACAGTAATGAAGAAGAGTTAATGAAATATACTTTTTAAAAATCAACATGCAAATTAGTTAAATCTGAAAAGCGATATTGCCTGGAAGTTGATAATATATAATATAGATATTTGGCCTTTAGTTTCTAATGCATGACTTATCATCTCTCAGTTGAATCTGTCTTTTGTATGCTCAGGGGCATCTCTGTCAAAGGACAGAGGAGCAACTGAGAAAATTATACTGATAGGTGCCCAGCCCTGGGGAACAGCTGCCCGAAGCCGCACCCTCCCATTGCACCAGAGGGAGGCATTAGTGCTCGCACCGAGGCCAGCGCAACCGACAGTTGCAGAGGCTGTGGGCAATTTTTGTCCTTTGCCCGGGTGCACGCGCTTGGGTCCCCACTTTAAAAAGACCTTGTTTCACATCTTGTCCTCATGGGGGAACAAGTAAACACCGTAAATTACTCCTTGGAATGGTTTGTAGTACATTTACTTATCATCACTCTGTTGCATCTTTGTGATTGAGCAGAGTGTACTCAGGGGTGGCTCCGTCAAAGGACAGTTGCAACTGAGGAAAATTATACGGAGAAGTGTGGGACCTGGGGAACATCTGCCCGAGGCTACGCCTTCTCATTGCACTAGAGAGAAGGATCGGTGCAACCAACAGTTGCAGGGAATTTTTGTTCCTTGCCCGGGTGTATGTGCTCGGGCTCCCCCACATTAAACCGACCTTGTGTCACAACTGGACCTCGTGGGGGTTTGAGTATATACAAATCCCTCCTTGGAGTGATTTGTAACACTCTTATTTATCACTGCTCAGTTGTGTCCCTGTCTTTGGGCAGAGTGTGCTTGGGGGCTACTCTGTCAAAGGACGGAGTGGCAACTGAGGAAAATTATACTGAGGTGCCCAGCTCTGGGGGATAGCTGCCAGAGACTGTGCCCTCTCATGGTACCAGAGAGAGGGATTGATGCTTGCACCAAGGCCAGCACAACCAACAGTTGCTGGGGCTGTGGACAATTTTTGTTCCTTGCCCAGGTGTTCGCACTCAGGTTCCCACCTTAAAAAAGACCTTGTGTCACATCTCCTCTCAGTGGGGAAATAGAGTAAATGCCATGTGTAAATTACTATAATTACTGTGGAAGAATTGAGCTCCAATTTCACATTTATTCATATAAAAGAGTTGATTGTGTTTATATAGTGTGAGTAGGAATCAACACTGTATGAAGACAATCAGTTTCATGTTGTTATACAGTCTTCAAGCCAGGGACAAAAATGCATGAAAATGATAGCGCCTGCTGTGTTGATTCTTCTCTTTTGTTTATTCCATCAGGAATAGTCAGGCTGATAGGAATTTTTCAATTTGTAAAATAGGCATGCCAATTGCTACATCCTCTTTCCGTTTTAACTGGTAGATATTTTACACAATTTGAACATAAGTTACTTCTACAAGCAGTATGGTAACTTTTTGCCAATTTTTTTTTTTTCTTCTCAGAGAAGAAATCCAGAAGAAGTATGAAGGCAAGCTTACTCGTGAGATGTCAGGTCAAGAATATGAGGTTATCAGCAAAATATTCAAGGCAGTTGTCAATCGTAAAATCACAGTTCCTGGAGGTTTTCTCAGGTTTGGAATTTACCTTTTCCTTTTCTTCTGTTCCTTATCTCCCCTCTTGTTTCTCTCCTTTATCCTCTGATTCCAGGCTGGACAAATGAGGCTGCTGACTAGGATGAGGCAAACAAAACCTTTGGTTGACAATGTAAATATAGAGAGACTTTTTGTCTACCCTTCAATATGGAGATCTATCATATGTCATGCACAAGCCAGGTTCAGAGTTGACATGGAAAATGAGGAAGGAGTTTTTTTATTAATGTTGGGTAGATAAGGGAATCATTATTTATTAGGCTTACAGCCACATGATATCAAAACATCAGTTCGCATATGATCACCTAACTTAAGCAACACCAACCCTAATCAGTACCTACATGGGTGACCACTTGAGAATACCACGTGCAGTAAGTTTTGATGTTCAGCTAGTGTAATGGATAACTACTTGGAATTGTTATTCAGAGAGAAAAGTTCCAATTCAAGTTGGGTTTTATTTATATATATGCCCTTAAGCCCAAATACACTTGGGAATGGTATGATTCTGTCTCTCCCCCTAGCTATGGGTTAATTAGTAAGACTTGTATCACTGAACCATTATTATCTCCAAAAATGAAATTGCATAAAAAATATTTTGATTTTGGCATTAAATAACCTATAGAGGTGTTGATATAGCTGCTAAACAAAAACAACTGCACGATCAGAGAAACTACCCAGGCCAAAATCAACATTAAATTCATTAACTCCGATATTAGACCCTCCTATGAGGGATATGGTTTAATCTGGTCTGTGGAAAACCATGAAACAAATCCAGGATGAAGTCTTTGCAAAGTTGATCAAACAGTGAAAGTGTTATTTTCCAAGTGCAGAATAGAACATGCAAAATGATACTGAGCTGCATATGCAAAAGTAAAATTGTAATCTTGTATTAAGGTCTTAACCTATTGATTCTGCCAATTCTTCAGAGAAGCAGCATTGCCCTTGAAATCCATCTTTGGCTGTACCAACTTATGGTATTGCTTAAGTGCAAGACTTTTTTTTTTTTTTCTTTATCAGGTCTTGAACATGTTCTTTTCCTTTACATACTGGTTCACCAAGAAGCCGTGACTTTTCAAAGCAATTCTTTGTGATCAATATGCCAATGAGTAATAAGGTTCATGAACTATTTGGTGACATTGATGTAACTGTGGGTGGTAGTGAAAAATCTAAGCAGTTGTCCCAAAGTAGTTTTTCATCATCTTGGTGATATTAATTTTAAGCCCTGTAATTTTTTTTTCTTGTAAAACCATTCCATTAATAAACGAAGGGCAGACAGAATTTAATAATTTACTTGTAAAAATTATTTTTAAATGTCTTAGAATTTCTCATTTGTCTTTATTTCATTTATTTACCTTTTTTTTTTTTTTTAGCCATGATATAAAATATGTAGGTGAAAATTCTTTTCTTTTCCTACCCAAGTCCTCTTTCAGACTGATTTTCCCATCTGTAGATACATAGAAAGTAAAGATTATTTTAGAATGGGGTAATGCTGCAAACATTCACAAGAATTTATTGACTGCTTTTGGACAAGCTTCACTTAGTGTTAGCACAGTGATAGGATGGATCAGCAGAGTTAATGACAGCGAAATGAGAAACTGACCTCAGTGACAGGTCTCACAATGGCAGGTCAGCTGCTGCTGTGATTGATTGAAGATAAAGCTAATGGGATTAATTTCTTCATTCCACCTGATAGAAGAAACATGAGTGTAAAACTCTGCATAGCCCATTTTCAGTGCTTGCAGGTCAGTATGGTCTTGTCTACTCGGAGATCTGTTCTTAGAATGCTTACAAGACTCCATATAGGAAGAAAGGGTAATTGCTTCACAAAAGCTCCTGGAGTTGACATCACACAGCAGGATAGTCACAGGAGATGAGAGCCAGGCTTGCCCTTCTGAGCCTGGGAATCAAGGAATATCAATGGATTGGTGCAACTTGAAGCCACACAGAAAGAAAATGTACAAGGCAGCATGAACTGTTGGAAAATTGGTAGCCACTGTTTGGAAACTAGAAGAGGGTTTTAAAGTCAACATGTGTAACTTTTTCTTTTTTTTTTTTTTTTTTTTCATAAGCATGAAATGAAAAAGAAACTGTTTAATTATTTTTTTCTCTTTCTTTCTTAGCCAAAAAGGGGACCAGGCAATTGGTTGTTCCTACAAAGCAGCTACAGGATTACTCTATCCATTGGAGAGGGGATTGATATTTGTCCACAAACCACCAATTCATATTCGTTTTGATGAAGTGTCTTCTGTCAATTTTGCCAGAAGTGCAGGAAGCACAAGATCTTTTGATTTTGATGTGGAAACAAAATCTGGAAATGTTTACACATTTGTTGGTATTGAGAAGTAAGACACTTTTTTTTAATCCTTACTTTCCATACACTCTCTCTTTTTCCTTCTCCTTCCCTTTCTATTCTCTTTTTCCTTCTCCTTCCCTTTCTATTCTCTTTTTCCTTCTCCTTCCCTTTCTATTCTCTTTTTCCTTCTCCTTCCCTTTCTATTCTCTTTTTCCTTCTCCTTCCCTTTCTATTCTCTTTTTCCTTCTCCTTCCCTTTCTATTCTCTTTTTCCTTTTCCTTTTCTATTCTCTTTTCCTTCTCCTTCCTTTCTTTCTATTTTTTCCTTCTTTCCCTTTCCTTCTCTTTTCCTTCTCCTTCCTTTTCTATTCTCTTTTTTCCTTCTCCTTCCCTTTCTATTCTCTTTCCCTTCTCCTTCCCTTTCTATTCTCTTTTCCTTCTCCTTCCCTTTCTATTCTCTTTTCCTTCTCCTCTTTTCTATTCTTTTTCCTTCCTTTCTATTCTCTTTTTCCCTTCTCCTTCCCTTTCTATTCTCTTTTTCCTTCTCCTTCCCTTTCTTTCTCCTTCTCCTTCCCTTTCTATTCTCTTTTCTTCTCCTTCCCTTCTCTTTTCCTTCCCTTCCTTTCTCCTTTTCCTTCTCCTTCCCTTTCTATTCTTTTTCCTTCTCCTTCCTTTCTTTCTCTCTTCTCTTCCTTTCTCCTTTTTCCTTTCTTCCTTTCCTTTTTCCTTCCTTTCCCTTTTCTCTTTTTTCCTTCTCCTTCCTTCCTCTTTTCCTTCTCCTTCCCTTTCTCTTTTTCCTTTTCTCCTCTCTTTCTTTCCTTTCTCCTTCCCTTCCCTTTCTCTTTCCTTCTCCTTTTTCTCTCTTTTCCTTCCTTCCTTTTCTTTCTCCCTTCTCCTTCCCCTTTCTATTCTCCTTCTCCTTCCCTTTCTCCTCCCTTTTCTCTCCTTTTCCTTTTTCCCTTCCCCTTCCTCCCCCTCTCCTTCCCTTTGTATTTGCTTTCTTTACTCTCTCTCTCTTCAATAATTTCTGCAATAATGCTAACATTCTCCTTGGAAGTGTTGGCCATACTCTTTTAAAGTTGGGTTCTTTTTTTCATCATTGGTCATGAAGTGAGTTTAATTGTTGTAAAGTGTTTTACTCTCATGACCGTGTGCCACTCTTTGGAAATCTAATGATTTTTTTTTTTCTCTCCCTTGCTACCAGAGATGAATATGGTAAACTTTACGACTTCATTCGAGGCAAGAAACTCAGAGTTAAGAACTTTGGTTCTAAAGTGGTAAGTATTTTTTTTTTTTTTTTTATTAACATAAACGTTTTCTTTGTGTAAGTAAACTTTTCAGATTGCAGTGCAGGGTTAATTTCTCTGTCTCCGTCATTCAGCTACTGTCAGGGTGGTACTGCCAACTGGTGAATAGTTTCTAGTTTTCAGGCAAACTAGAGAACAACTCTAGGAGTTGAGAATATTAGATATAGACTAGGCTGTGCTAAAGGTAGCTTCACCCAGCTCTGAAAAGCTGCTACATAACCAGAATCATGTTCTTGAAATAGCCTTTGCAGACCAAGACGTTCATATATGTGCCATCCATGGTGCAACACTTGTATAAAAGGATCTAGACTAGTGTTTATAACATCTTTCTCAGATCAATTATTAAAAACGCTTTAAAACGTATGAAGTATATAGGTTTCAGTAAGGATCATCCTTCCTCGAATCTTGTGAACAGCCATAATGGAATCACAACAAATTGTACTAGCTAACAGAAACCACATCAGTTGGAGACGTTCAGCAGCAGTAACAACTTAAACAGATAGCATATATAACTCGAAGAGAAAATAAGGAAAATGTTGACATTCTGCACTACAACCAAAAGGCTAGGCAGGAAACCCATCAATATTGGTAAGAGCAACAAGTTGGTGAACTCGAGAAACCCATTCTCCTGAAGAAATGTGTTAAGAGAAAGATTTTATAAATTTCAACTGGCAGTAGATTGGCTGCTTGGTCAATGAATGCTAGCTGTTTCCTTATGGGGAGACAGCTAATAAATATAGCATTAGAAATGTGAAGAATAGATACTACACTTGACTCCCAGTCTGGTGGCCAGGGAGCGGAGATAAATGTAACATGAGAACAGATACTACATTGTATTCCCAGCTCATGGCCAGGGAGTGACAAAAAGCCTTACTAGATTAGCACTGCCAGCTCGGTAAATGCCAAATGTTTCCTGATAAAGGAATGGCTAATATTATCATTACCACTAGTAGGTCCTTCATTAAAGGAACAAAATCTCGAGAAAGAGAGAGATATGACTGTCGGCATAAAAGCTGATAGGTCACATTACAAAACAAAAGACTACATCCAACATGATTACTACTTACAAAAAATATAACTTTTTGATATTTTGAATAATATCATTACTAAGCATGAAACACCTGATAAGTAATCCACAGAGGTGTTGCTGTGACGATAATAACAAAAATCTGCTGTCAACATAGTGTAGATATTTGGGCTGGGGAACCCACCCCTAGGGTAGGGTTAGGGTCATTTACAACAGCTGCATATCACCTAGGAACCTTGCCAGCACCTGAAAAATCTTGGATTTTGAAGGTTTTCGGATTTAGGAATTTCTGATAAAGGATACTCAATCTGAATTTGAAATAATGTAAGGAGATAAGCGTAGGATATCAAATCACTGACAAACAGGTGTTCAGTACAGGTGGGGCTACTTGGACTCTACTGTTGGTTAAATAATTCCTGATCAAGAGATTCTTTATAAACACCTGTTCAAAAAGGATTAATCGGATGAGAATTACCGTTCTGCAGATCTGATTGGGTTATTTTTACAATTCACCAAAATTTGGAGAGACATTTCTTTCACTGTTCATGATTAGACTTTTTAGACATAATTTGAGCTTTTATCTTCTTTAAACAAAACAAAGTATGACGTCTATAAACTTGAAAACTAACATCTTTACTCTCCAATTCAGGAGAAAGGTTCTTATGGTGATGACATGGTGGACAGTGATGAAGAGGAGAACGCAGGTGAACATGATGCTTACCTGGAGAGAATGAAACAAGAAGGACGAGAAAGAGATGAAGATGAGTCTGAAGACGAATCAGGTAAGGAAATTTGATTTTTTTCCTCCTTGTTTTATTTCATTTATTTATTTTTTTTTTTCCTTTTTCCTCTTTGTTTTGCTTTTTTTTCCTTTTAAAAATATTTTTCCCTTTTTTTTCCCCACTCCGTTTTTTCCCCCACCCCTTTTTCCCCCCACTCCCGTTTCCCCTTTTCCCCCACTCCCGTTTCCCCTGCAATAAATTTTTTTCCCCACTCCCGTTCCCCCTTTTTCCCCCCACTCCCTCCCCTTTTCCCCCCCCCCCCCCCCCCACCCCTTTTCCCCCAAATTTCTTTTTCCCATTTTCTCTTTTCTTTCCTTTTAACCTTATTTTTCATTTTAATCTGTATACGTATACAAGTCTAATAGAAAGCACCTTTGTTACAGCTTTTTATTTTTCAAATGAAAGTTATAATACAATATTGTTGAATTGTCTGTGTCAAAGCTAAGCGAGATGCCTTGTCTAATTTTTACCTTACATTTTTGTTTAAAATAATATTGCATGTGTGCATTAAATCCAAGATGGTTGCCAAAAAAAAGATTTTCATGCAGTGGCAGAGGTTAATGTATGTGTATCATTGATGTATGATACAATAGCTATGGAAGGACAGCACAGTATAATATAATAAAATATATATTTGTAATAAAATATATATTTATAGTTACATTGAAATTTCAACTGTGAAAAGAAAGAAATATTTGATATCCCACCTTCCTTTGAAAATTCAACTGTGAAAAGAAATATTTAATTCCCCCCACCTCACTACTTGATGTAAATAATGCATACATAGACAAAACATTGTAAACTATTAGTATTTCTTTCATGTCAGTTTTAATTTTTTTTTTCATTGCACCTATTCTGATTGTCAGAAATGGAAATGATTCATAATATCAAGAAAATTCATTAAAAAGATCTCTTTAAATAAGAAGCAGATTTTAATCCCTCAAAAGCAAAACATTTTCAAACAGTATAGCTAATGCTGACCTCCATTGCACTTTCATGAGCTAATATTTCCTGCTGCCATGTAGTGGAAAGATTGTATTGAATCAATTGCTACAAAAGTTGGTTCACTGTCACATTAGGTAATGCATTCAGTAGTTTAATATTGCTGCTACATCTGGTTTGTTGTTGCTGTTATGTATTTAGAGATTCTTCATAAAATTCAGAGAATCTGCGAAAGTTAGTGGTCCCAAACTGATATCTCAGTTTCAGTCACTTTCCAACCACAGTAACCGCTTCCCTCTGCCTTTTTCTATAAATACTTTCATGGTAATTGTTCTGATGAACATTCCTCTTTGTTACCTTGACTTTGTCAATTTTAGCACAGTGCTAGATTGGCGGAAAGGTCACATCGCTTTACGGTTGAAATATCTAGATGCAACCATAAGTTCTATGCTAACTGTTTCTTTTGCACTCCTTCTTTGTTGTCTCTTTTCTGGCTTCTTGCTTTCCAGTCAACTTTGATCTTCCAAAATTTAAATGTAATGTCAATCGTTATTGATTTTTCTTTAATCGTCCTTAATGGTTTTTCTCATATTCTCTAACACACAGAAACCACTTTGTGCCCTTTATTGTGTGTGTGTGTGTGTGTGTATGTGTATGTATATATATATATATATATATATATAATACAAAATCTTTCTTTTTTATTTCACCTTCATTCTTTTAAAAACACCTTAAAATGAGAGTTTTAAAGTAAAAGACAAAAAAAAACAACCATTTCATTAACTACAGTATATTTTCAGTGTTTCTCTAGGCTCCTCTTAATACCAAAACATTCAGATTTTTGGTTCATCTGTCTACAATATATTTTGTTAAATTTATATGAGAAATGTATTTTGTTTACACCATTAACCCTTCAGTAGAATTTTAAGATTGCCAAAAGGACTAGAGATTTTATTCTGGTCAAGGGAATCCTTAAAAAAAAAAATTTTGAATTTGTAAAGACACGCAATACCATGTTATTTACAAATAATGGGAAAATAATTCCTCTTTCATCGACACAAAGATCCAAAACACCCTTCTAAATTAAGGGCCACAATTTTAGAAATTACGTCTTGGTCGCGTCAAATCACTTGATCTCTCTCCTATTGAATTAATGAGATGAATTGGATAAGCATGTTCGAAGATAATACCAAGTTTTTTCTTGAAAAGTGCTTGGGAAGGTCTGCTATCAATCCTTTCTCTTTTTCTGGTGCATGGACCCCACATAGCTGAAAAGAGAATTTTGTCCTTTTCATCTCTGGACAGAAATTTCTATTTTAGTGTCTTAGCAAACACTTGCCCTTTGGATGGAAGGGGTCTACAAAAGAGAGCAAGTGTAAATTATAAAAATGAATATTGTCTTTCTTAATCAATTTTACATAATGATTAAATACCCTTAGTAAAATTTAATCTTTCTTTTGCAGATGGTTGAATCAGTTATGTGCTAATGCTAAAAATATATATATATATATATATATATATATATATATATATATATATATAAAAATTTAATAAACAAAAAATCAAAACTTACCTCATGTGAGAATAGCCCTCCTCTTTTGGCAGTTTAAGTATTTCATTTTATTATCAAACAAATTTGGACTTTTTTACGTGTCTATACATTTTTGGATGGGGCTTGGAAAATAGGATTTAACTTATGGCTTAAAAAAAAAAAAAATCAATTTTGAAAACTAAAAATTTATCCATTTCAATGTTTCAGTCAGACAAAATTGGTTCATTCTCCATTTTTTTGTCTGCTTTTTAAAATTTTCCCATATGAAAAAATTTGCAATTTTTCAAGTTTTATTAATTATATTGCTCTCTAATAAATACATTTTAAATCTTTTTTGGATCAATTGTAATTTTTATAATATTACTTGATCCCTTCTTAAATTCATAATCAACAGATTTGTTTTTTTTTTTATCTTATATATATATATATATATATATATATATATTTTATATTTATATATAGGTAATTTTGGAAAAAAAAATCAATAAAAAAATAATTTTTAGTTTTAAATTATTTTTCAAAAATTTTAACAAAATGAATTTAATGAAACAAATTTGTATCTATAAACAACAAACAAAATTGTCATTAGCAACTAGAAACCAAATATGTTTTTCTTCTTTTAGACATCATTAACACAAAACAATAATATCTTTAAAATGGTTTATTTTTCCATTTTTTTCTGTTTTGCCACTCTTCTGTCTTTAAATCTGGAATAATTAAAGGTTTCTACTTGAACATTAAAAAATTTGCAATGCCCAATATTTTACCTAAAAAAAATTACATATAAAATCCTTCAAACCTACAATATCATTTCATCCACAACACAAGTTTAAAGGCAAAATATTCTCACAACAAAATAACATAATCCAATAATAATAAAAGCTTAAATGTTTTTAATGCATAATTTTTCAATTTTATTTTTTCCGTTCATTATTTTTTTTCTTTTTTCCTTATCATGTTAAATAAAAAATTATCATTTAGAAGAAATTTTTTTTTTTTTTCAAAACATTTGATATTATCAAATATTAATTTTTTTTTTTTTTTTTAAAATCTCAATTTTTTTGCATTTCTCTACTCTCCCAAGCCAATTTAAACAACAAATATATCAAAAATGAAAAAAAAACAAAACTGCATCTGACAACAAATTTTATGGACAATAGCATTTCTAAATTCTAGTTTTTTCAACATTTTGTTTTTATAGATAGTTTCTTTCGATAAATTCATTTTTTTTTTTTGCTTTGGAAAAAATTTCACATTGGACGAAACTAAAGTCAGCTAAAACTAGTTTTTTCCTTTTGTCTTTTTTTATTTTTAATTATTGATGGAAATTTTTTTTTATATTTCTATTACGTCAAACATTATTATCTTTTAATTTACTTCATATTTTGAAAATAATTTAAATTTTTTTTTGTCAAACAGTGTGAATTCTTCAGAATTCCTACAAAAAGGATTTTTTTCAGTCCCTTCTAAGGGAACACATTTTGTTTTTTTCTCAAATATTTATAATCTTTGATCTATGTTTGTCTGTGTTTGTGTGTGTGTTTTGCTTTTCCTATTTTAATTATTCTAATGACCTCAATGATATTTAATACAGTGTGTTTTTTGATCTATTTCTGATTATTTAATTGTTAAAAAAAAAAAATAGTCAAGATCATTTCACAAGAATGTTTGGGGTTTTTTTTTTTTTGTTTTTTTTTTTTCATTTTTTTTTTCTTCAATTTTTTTTTGTGCTGCTCATCATTCTATTTTGTTTTTTTTCTTAATTTTCTTTGAATTTAAAAGAAAAACTTCTTTATTTATGATTTTTGCATTTCTCTTTTTTTCTAATCCTTCAATCCAGGAATTTTTATCATCTTTGCTGAAAAGAAAAGTTTCTGTCTCTTTTCTTTTTTTTCTCTCTCTCTCTCTCTCTTTCTCTCTCTCTCTCTCTTTCTCTCTCTCTCTCTTTTCTCTCTCTCTCTCTTTTTTATCTCTCTTTTCTCTTCTTTTCTCTCTCTTTTTCTTCTCTCTTTTCTTTTCTCTCTCTCTCTTTTTCTCTCTCTCTTTCTTTTTTTCTCTCTCTTTTTTTCTCTCTCTCTTTTTTTTCTCTCTCTCTTTTTTTTCTCTCTCTCTTTTTTTTCTCTCTCTCTTTTTTTCTCTCTCTCTTTTTTTCTCTCTCTCTTTTTTTCTCTCTCTTTCTTTCTCTTCTTTTTTTTCTCTCTCTCTTTCTCTTTCTCTTTTTTTTTCTCTCTCTCTCTTTTTTCTCTCTCTCTCTTTTTCTCTTTTCTTTTTTTTCTTTTTTTTCTCTCTCTTTTTTTCTCTCTTTTTTCTTTCTCTCTTTTTTCTCTCTCTCTTTTTTTTTCTCTCTTTTTTCTTTTTTTTTTTCTCTCTCTTTTTTTTTTTCTCTCTCTCTTTTTCTCTCTCTCTCTCTTTTTTCTCTCTTCTCTTTTTCTCTCTCTCTTTTTTTCTCTCTCTCTTTTTTCTCTTCTCTCTCTTTCTCTCTTTTTTTTTTTCTCTCTTTCTTTTTTTTTTTTTTTCTCTTTTTTTTTTTTTCTTTTTTTTCTTTTTCTCTTTTTTTTTTTTTCTTTTTCTCTTTTTCTCTTTCTTTTTTTCTTTTTTTCTCTCTTTTTTTCTTTTTCTCTCTTTTTCTCTTTTTCTTTTCTTCTTTCTCTCTTCTTTTTTTCTTTTCTCTCTTTTTCTCTTCTCTTTTTTTTTTTCTTTTCTCTCTCTCTTTCTTTCTCTCTCTTTCTCTCTTTTTCTCTCTCTCTTTTTTTCTTCTCTCTCTCTTTTTCTCTCTCTTTTTTTCTTCTCTCTCTCTTTTTCTTTTCTTTTTTTTCTCTCTTTTTTTTCTCTTCTTTTTCTCTCTTTTTTTTCTCTTTTTCTTTCTTTTTTCTCTTTCTTTCTTTTTCTCTTTTTTTCTCTCTTTTTCTCTTTCTTTCTTTCTTTTTTCTCTCTTTCTCTTTTTTTCTCTTTCTTTTTTTTCTCTTTTTTCTCTCTCTCTTTTCTCTCTCTTTTTTTCTCTTCTCTCTTTTTTTTCTCTCTCTTTCTTTTCTCTCTTTTTTTTTTCTCTTTTTCTTTCTTTCTCTTTTTTTCTCTTTTTCTTCTTTCTCTCTTTCTCTCTTTTTTTCTCTCTTTTTTTTCTTTCTCTTTTTTCTCTCTCTTTCTCTTTCTCTTTTTTTTCTCTCTTTTTCTCTCTTTCTCTTTCTCTCTTTTCTCTTTCTTCTCTTTTTCTCTCTCTCTTTTTCTCTCTCTCTTTTTTTCTCTCTCTCTCTTTCTTTCTTTTTCTCTTTTCTCTCTTTTTCTCTCTCTCTCTCTCTCTCTCTCTTTCTCTCTTTCTTTCTCTCTTTCTCTCTCTTTTTTCTCTCTCTTTTCTCTTTCTTTTTTCTTCTCTTTTCTTTTTCTTTTTTCTCTCTCTTTTTTCTTTTTCTCTCTTTCTTTTTTTTCTCTCTCTAATTAAATTTCTTTACATAAAAACTCTATTCAGTGTTTGTAATTTGTACTGAGGTTTTTGCATAGGGATACAATAATAAAAATAGTGTTAGGAGAATAAATAAACCCTTCATTTCTTTAGAAAATTTTCTGATGATAGGGCATGTTATGTTCCACAGATTCGTCTCAGTATTAGGCACATCGAAAAGACAATAGCAACAAATTAGTAAAAAAAAATGGGATTTCTCAATTAATCAGCATTGTTTTCCTTCCACCACAAGGAAGTAACTGCTACACATTTACTGCCTGGCTAATTCATTATATGGATACCGGCTGGGGTCCCACCACTCCTTTCTGTCTACTTGTATTCCACCAACTGAAAAGGAGGACCACCCAGACAGCTTTTGTGTGATCAGTCTTTCAAAGAACCCTACTTTTATGGCTATGTAAAAACACTAAAAAAATTTTATGTTTGACAATTCAAAGGTGGGCTGGGGACAAGATTCCTGAAAAACCCTGGTCATTAAATTGAGTTAAAAAGATCTATTTCCTAAGGTTGTATGAGAAATTGTATTGCTACATATTTCACATATGTATTTCTGATTTGGAAGTGTATAAAAACTTTTTAGCAAATTGTTGATATAGTGGCAGTTTCTATCTGCTTATAGATTATCAAATATATTTCACTACTTTAAATATTATTTAAAATTATAGTTTGTTTGCAAGCATAATTACAGCAGATTTTATTCTACACATGCACACACATACACATGTATGAATAAAAACAAAAGGAAAACTTCTTTGCCAACACATTTCGTCCAAGGTAAATATAAGGATATTAATTTGCAAGATCTATTCATAAACCGAAGGAAAAATATTAAATTTTCAACATTTTTACATTTTAAAAATGTTCAAAAATATTCTTAAAGTTAAATATTCATCGTGGGTTTATTTTTTGTTTTGAAGGTTGCATTTTTGTGATAAATATTACCTTTTTACTAATTTTTTCCACGAATTTATATCTATTTTATTTCAGTATTTCTGATATTGGGCATTCTTATGAATGCAAACCTGCACACGCTATTGGTATGTAACAGGAGAGAGCTATGGAAGAAAGATTTATTCTAACATTATGGGCATTATTATATCCGTGATATAATAACACCTTATTTCATGGACAGAATGGAATAGCTGAAAGGAACAGGAATGATAAACATGCCTTGTTTTCAGTAACTTTTATAGCATTAAGCCATACATGAAGCTATATATACAAGTGTCCCATGCAGAAGACATATCTCTTTTTTTTTAGAGTTTTTTTTATAAAACTGTAATCAAGGGTCTTATTATAATATGGAGATACTCCTGTGTCTCCAAATTCAGATTTGCATTCATCTATATATCCCAGGTTTGACATATTCATTTTAATATATCCAGCAAATATATTTCCAAAGGGGAATGGCACCATGGGCTTGTAAGCTGTTGGGGAGGCATATTTAGCCTCTGTCTGGACCCTAGTAGGAGCAGGCTAAAGAAAGCAACATTACTGTTTGGCTGCTATAGAAAAACCAATTTACTGCTATTGTCATTGTATGGAGTGACATCATTAAACATTAGTCATCTCCAGGATAGGGAGATAATTTCTTTCTGTATCCTTGCTAGTAAAGCTTCCAAATACAATCCTGTCAACACTAAGCCTATCAAAAAAAAAAAAAATGAAATGACAAAAGAAACCAAGAATAAAAACAAAAGAAAAGGAAACATTTAAAAAAAGACAGGTATTTACCATAGGTGTAACCCAAAGCGCTTAATGTCTCTAACACATAGACCAGGAAAGAGCAGTAATACTAACCAATGAAACAACACAGACTAGATTCAAATTGTTACTATTAGAATATGTTATATTTATGGATAAAGAATGCTCAGTTATTGGAGGAGTGTATTTGTAGACAGTGCGGCGATGGAAATCAACATTGCATGGTGGCTAATAATTTTGCACCTTAAGCAATCATCAGGCCTTATATATAAGGCCTGGTCAAATTTTTGCAATGGACTGACCAACAGGATAAGAATGGCTTTTAATTTTTTTCTTCTGATTAATGGTTTGGATAACTCATTTATTTGCAACAGAAAAAGCAAGAAATAGTTTTTCTTCTTTTTAATAGATATGACAGTAATCCTGAGACAACGTCTGATTCTGAAAGTGGAGAAGAAGGGGAAGAAAAGAAATCCAAGGAAAAGAAGAAAAAAGAGAAGAAACCAAAGGCTGAAAAGGTGAGATTTTTATCCGAGGGAGAAGTATGGTTTGGAATTAAATTTCTCTTGATGTTCCAATGAAGTGGATAGCTTTGGACTGAACTGCGCTTTAATGAACCCAAAAAGATTCACCGAAATTGTTGATTAGCATTTGGATCATAATTTTAATTCAATCTTCTTACTCAGAGGGGTAAATAATTGTGTGTGTTATCGATAGAAGGGTCTTTCTGTTGAGTTTTTCTTGAGTAATGACAGAAGCAGATTTGAATAGCACTGTGCTAAGGGATGTATCTGAATTCTAAAATGTGGGGGTTCTTTGGAAAAGAACAAATCTCAAAACGGGGCAAAATAAAAGACTATAAATATAAAACAAAAAAACAAAAAAAAATCACTTGTATGAATACAAATATGAAGTTTATTTTGCTGATTGATGTTATATTCATCACCCCAATTCCAGAGTTTTATAGACTTTTTTTTGTAGTCATTCAGTCCACTTGTCAAAGGTTATCAGCATTTTTATCCACTGGGCCATGTGTCCTTGAGGATAAAGACGTTGGTTAGATCCAGTGACTAAACCCAAAGAGTTGTGAGTTCAATACCAGGCCACAGCAGTAGTGAACCAAAAACTTGGAGAGTTAAGTAAAAAGGAAAAATAACTGAGACATCTTGAAGAGGCATGGCATGTGGAACTAGAACAATCTGCCCCAGTGGATGAAATAAAGGGTTTGGTTTGAAATTCCACTGTGTTCCATAAGTTTTGAGACCACCCTAAAGCCACATGGGTGGTCAAATCTTCAAAAGACTACTTTTATGACTATCTAAAATCATTGAAAAAATTTTGTTTGCCAATTCAAAAGCAGACATTAGACAGGAATCCTGAAAATCTGGCAATTCAGTTGACTCTGAGATGGACTCCTGACAAAATTCTTACAAAACTCAAACCTGAGGAAGGAATTTATCTCCACATCTGTCTGTATTTGTGAATCTGACCTATTGTAACTATTTACCTTATTTACATTGTTTGTACTGTTGTCCTCATCTTTATTGTCATATTCACGGTTTTTCGACCGTTGTACAAACTGACCTTCTTCAGATGTGATCACCTGAAGAAATCTGAAGTGTACGACAGGTTAAAAAAAACAAAAAAACAATAAAAGCAGTAATAAAAAATAATTAGATTACCACTTAAAGTGGTAATATCAAAATAAAGAACGCAAGAAAGCAGCATAACCATCAGATCTCAAAAAGGACGAAATAATAAATACCAAAGTCCAGGTGTTGTATAATAATGAAAGGCTGACTATATTTAAGCCTAACAGCCACTTGTTTCCAGAAGGATGGTTGGCAGGACTTAATATCATTAGATTTCAGGTGAAAATTTGAGTTATCCCTTTATTCCATGAAATAAATGGGCTCCCTTGTCTCTTCAAAGATAATTTATTGGCATGTCATGAATGGAGATGGGCATTGTCCTTTTGCTAAATGTTTTTTTTTCTCTCTATATCCAGGCTGACAAGCCTCGCAAGAAACGAAAGTCCAAAAAGAACGTTGACCCTGACAAGCCAAAACGTCCTCTTTCTGCCTACTTCTTCTGGTTAAATGAACATCGGGAACAGATAAAGACAGATAACCCAGGTATCTCCATTACAGATCTGACCAAGAAGGCAGCAGACATGTGGAAAGAAGTTGAAGACAAAACGGTAAGTGGATGTTGATCAAACTTTCTCTCTCAGGTTGCTTCTTTTACAACCCACTTAATCTTACATTTCATAATACTGAGTATGACGATAAACTCCATCCGGCAGCATGACCTCTATTCAAGTTAAAGAGTCGATCAATCTGAGAAATGTCACAGCCTAAGGTAGGTCTAAAGCAGTCATGGGCGAACTGCAACCTACAAGCAACATGCATCCTGTTTTGTCTTTCTGAATGGCACGCTAAATTTCATAAAGAAAATAACATTTCTTAGAATTTGTTTTGTGTTATTCATACCTGTTCACTCACACACACTCTCTCATACATAACCACATACATAAATAATGAATAAGTACAATGTTCCTTGAATTTTGTAAAATTGATGAAAGTAACGTTTTCATAATTTGAAACTATTGGCAATTGCCACTAAGGAAGATCGTGCATGTAAATATAATTTGCTTTTGAAATGGGAAATATTGATAATACTTCATTTATTCTTTGTGGAAGAAATTTTTTTTTTTTCTTTTTCATTTGAAAAAATATGAAATAATTCATACCCAGTGACATGTGTTTAATCACACGGTCCAGGGATAATGTTATACCAGGACTTCAATGTCTTTAATTATAAATGTTTTAATGACACTTGTAAAGCAAATGGATTGCTGCCTAAATAAACAATTTTTTATATATACAGTGTAACCCGGATATAAGAGAGTTGTCGGGACTGGAGAAGAAGTCTCTTATATCCGGGTTTGGTCTATTTTATATACATTAACACAGGCTCTCATTTGGGACTGGAGAAAATCTCTCATATCCGGGTTACAATATATATATATATATATATAATTGATTGTTTAATAAAATAAAGGACAAAAAAAAGATACTAGGAATATAGTCAAATACATTGGAAGTATTTTTAAAACTGTTCACTGTTCTAGTTATTACATATACAACAATACTAATAGAAAAACATAAAAACTCCACAAAACCCCCAAATTGTGTATAAACAATGCTCATTAGATTATGTAAAATTCATGTGGTCCATCGGCCCTTTCTGAATGGCACCCTTAATTTCAAAAGGAACGTTTCTGAAAATTTGGATTTGTTTTGTTCTCACTTGTTCACTCACACAATTTCTCCTACATAACCAATAATTAAATACAGTGTTTCTTGAATTTTGTAAATGTTCGGTGAAATTAACATTTTCATCATTTATAAACCATTAGTGATTTTCACTAAGGAAGATCATATGTGTAAAGATATTTTTACTTTTGAAATAAGAAACATTCAAAACAATTTTTGAAATGAATGCATAGATCATACAGCACACTTCTCAAAAAAGGTTGCCTATACTTGGTTTAAAGAATGCTAATATGAAAAAAAAAAAAGTCTCCTAAGTCTTTTCCCTGTTTTTTTATGAAGGGACCACTCTATTTAGTGCATAAATGTTAAACTTCATTCAGAATTTCTTTTTTTAATTTAATTATCTGTAATTATGAATTATCCCAACTTATTTTTTCAACTCCTGTCCCAAGGTCCTCGGTTAATTGAGGAAGTATTGTCAAGGGTGTTAATTTTGTAATTTCTCTTTTCTTTTTGTTTCAGAAATGGGATAAAATGAATGAAGAGGCCAAAGAAAATTATGCAGCAGCAATGGAAGAATGGAAGAAAAAAGTCGCTGAAAGGGGAGATGTTGAAGAACCTAGGTACGGCTCTCCTCATGTCCTTGTTTGATTATTTTCTTTATTTGCTTTGAGAAATCATTAAGATGTTGGTGGGGATCTCTTTACAGTGTTGAAAGAGTAAAAAGATAGGATTGTTTTAAAATCCAGGAAGTTATTGTCCCCTAAATCACCATTTAATGGGGGGTGATTATTATCAATGCTATCAATTCAATAGTTTCTGTTTGAATTTCTGAAATAGGGTGTTGTCATTATTTATGTGGTCTTTTGATACAATATTTCATAGTATGATGATGATGATAAACTTTATTTGGCAGCAAGGGCTTGGATCAAAAGAGTGGAGATTTTGACAAGCTTGAAAGCACCTCTTAATTACAGTTGTTTCCTTGGTCCACCCTGACCAAGGGTAGTAGCACCTGGGGTGCTTGTCATGGGCAAATGGTGAACTGCTCAAACAAAAATCTAAACATTTCTTTCATAGTAAAAATACTAGCAATCCCTTTTTATAAATAAATAAATTTAAAAAAAAAAAAAAAAAATGACCAATAAGGCTTTTATAGTAAAATAATACTCAGTACTTCATTTAAAAAAAAAAAAGTATAAAAATACATTATAGTAAAATTACCAGAAATCCTTTTTTTAAAAAAAAATACCAACAATACATTTTATCATCTACAAACAATATATCTTAAAAAAAAAAAACAAAAAAAAAAACATTTGCCCTGAAAGTATTAAATTATGTACAAAATATCTGTAGTTGAAGGCATGAAACTGCATACAAAATATTTAGATTTCATCATTAAATAACCTATCAAGGTTGATATGCTGGTAAACAAAAACAACCAACAACAACATTTTATCTGTTGTTCATGCCATACAATTTCAAAATATTGTCAATATGGTCATCTTTCATTGTGTTTAGAATATTTAACCCCATTAATTGCATGTAAATATTTTCAAGCAATCAGAATCGACTAACCAACGATTATCTTGATAATACAGCATTTTCAAATGGATCTAACATCACTTAATTTTCAAATGTACACCTGAAAATCTGTTGAAAATGTCATCCTGGGTAAGACAATTTTTCATCTGATTGGGAGGTTTTGAGGGAATTTTCAACACCCTGGTTTGGTTTCCTGAGTCCACCCTGACCCAAGGTGGTAGCACCTGTTAATTGTTAGCTATAGGCAGATAGTTAACCCCAAACTGGTGACAAAAACACTATGAAAGTTTAAAATAGGTTTTAAATATAGAAATACATTTTTTATAAAAAATTTTCAGAAATACATTATATATATTGAATACATTTTTTGAAAAAATATTACCAGCAATAGATTTTTTCTGAAAAAAAAAATATTACCAACAATAGATTTTTTGGAAGAAAAAAAAAATATTACCAGCAATAGATTTTGAAGAAAAAAAAAATTTGATATTACCATTGTTAATTAGATTTTTGAATAAAAAACCAAATTTTATAAACAATAAAAAATTTTGTCAGCATTAAATAACCCATTGAGAAAATTTGAAAAACAAATAAAAAACTTAAGATATAAAATCCAAAATGGCTTGTAAAAAAATTTAAATTTTTAAATGAAATAATCTCTGAAAAAATTTTTAAACAACTAATTTTTGAAGAAAAAATTCAGTGCTGATTCCAAAAAATTCAAAAAAAATTCTTACTTGTTAAATCTGATGCTTTTAACAAAATTAAGAACAGCAAATTTAAGAACAAGGAATTCATTTCAGTTTTGGTTTCTAGTTCCTATGAAGAAACCTTAAAAAAAAAAATTCAAAAAGAAAATTTTTAAATAGCATCTTGCAATAAGAAAAAAAAAGATAAGGGGTGATGTGAACCTGGTGAGGTAATAATTTGTTTTCAAAATCAAAAAAACTCATCGTTTACCAAAATGTTTTGTAGCAAGAAGCAAAAACAGGAACTTTGGTCTGGGATTTTTTTTGAAGATGACACCTAAATCCTGAATCCTTCATAATAATTTAGAATGTTGATTTTGAAATTCAAACAACTTCAAATACCTTACCAGAAACACTGGTTTTGAAAGAACACCAAAAAAAACCTGGTCAATACACCTATATGGTTTGCAACCCAACAAATACTAGGTGCTGTAAACTTGGATGTCCAATGTTTAATGGATAACAGCTTGTATTGGAAATTGAAGAACCAATTTCCAATTAAATCAATACATTGTTAAATACCTTTCATCCAAATTTTTTTATATGAATAAAAAAATCTTCTCCCTTTCCATTATCTTTGGATTTTGAATAGTGGGAAAAAATTTCCAATGTTCTTTTGATCTAAAATTTATTTTTGGCTTTAAATATTTTGCAAGGTTGATAAAAAAAAAAATGTTTTTATAAAATTAAATTGTTTTTTCAGGATTAAATAATTTTCCCAAAAACAGGTCAAACATAGAATAGGTTGTACATGGAAAATGTTCTTTCAAAATGTTGGCGATCCTCTCCCTCCGAGAATTCCACTATATTTTTATCTTATTAATTCTTGTTGATTATGTCTCCTAAAATTTTTCTTAAAATGTAATTTTACAATAAAAAAAAGACTGTTTTGTTCTGTTTCCTCTTTTATTCAATGTGTCCTGTGGTAATTTTCTATTTTTCCTCATTATATTTTCTAAAAATTTCAACTGTCTCTTTCTTATGTATCCTTTGTGTTTCCATTTTCTCTTGAACTCATTTTTTGTAAATGTTTCAATTTCATATATATCTCATTTTATTCTTCTAAAAATCAAGTTCTTCACCATCTTTCAAGAGATTGTCCAGCATTCTCTGCCATATTGGTGAACTGATAATAAATAACATTTTAACAAGATTTTCCTCTTTCTACCAAACCAAAATATTAACCTGAAAACAACAGAGTTTGACATGCATGCATCTCCTTCCAATCTCATGTCTAATTTATTTTAAAAAAAATATGAGTTTTCTCAATCAAACCTAAAAAACCCTACAAACAAATGGTCTTAAAAAATCATCCTTCATCCAAAATCCAAAAATTGAAAAAGACAACATGTTTTTTTATTGAAATTTGTGATGGATAATTTCTTTTAGAATTGTCCTCCTGCCACTAAATTTTTTTTTCTGAGGGTATATAAAACAAAACAAAAAAAAATATACCTTTTGCATTGAAGTTTTTTTTCTTTGGATTATTTAAATTTTAATTTTTTTACACTAATAAAAAGAATGAAGTAATATTTTGGTAATGCATTACATTTTTGAATGTGAAACAAAATTTGATGCTGAAAAAAAAAACTTGAAAATAAAAAATTTATGCATTAAAAAAATACATGGCTATTTCCTTTAAGATTTATTACTCCTTAAATGAATGTTGGGGGTTGCAATAAAAAAACCAAAATTCTTAAAAAAACTTTCATTTCCTCAAAATATTGATGTTTCCTCATTTTTACATTAGAGATAGACACAAAGCATTTTTTTGCTCTTTCTTTCACCTTGACTATCCCATAGTTCTTGTTTAGCACCTTTGGATGATTTTTGTAATTAGATGATTGTTGATTTCCTGCAAATGAATATTCATTTTAATTTAAAATCTTGGCTCACTTCTAAATAGTTAAAAACTTTTTTCTATGGCCATGGAAATTTATGTGTGTATATTCTTGTCTTAAGTATTGTTCTTCATTAAATGAAAATGTGATTATTACATTATTATAACATCTTAAAATTATAAAATTGAGATTGAAGGTTATTTAAATCATTTAAAAATCTCATCTTCAGAAAGGCTATCAGTGATAGAAAACCCATAATTATTTAAAAAAAATTCAAAAATTAGTCAAATGGATGATACTTTGCCATATATGGTCATCAAAAAAAGTCTAAAAATAAAGAAATCAATAAAAAGGTTATCATCTTTGACCATTCTTTAAATAACTTCCAAAAGCCTTCAAAATCATCATCAGAACTAATCAAAGTTCAAAAAAAATCCTGAATAAATTTATTGTTGGATATTGAATTGTTCGCCATAGTGACTAAAAATGGACAAAAAAATGAATATGAATTTTAATCGATGTTACACATATAATAGTTTGTAAAATCTTAAAAAAATTTAAAATGACATTTAAAATTTGTGAAACACTTTTAATACAGTAAAAAGGTTCCTTTCATCTTAAAATACCAGAAATAATAGTTCTAAGTGTTTTTTTTATTGGAACTGTCTCAATGTGATAATATTGCATGTTTTATTTTGAGGTATCAATTTTTAAGGTTTTTTTGCCTTTGGCAATATAACAATTGTTAAAAAATTTTGTTGTTATTTTCTTTTTTTAAAAACATTTTAATACTGGTGGATAAAATCACAATTTTCCATTTTAACCCTAATTCATAAGCTAATTTAAAAACCAGTATTATAATATTTACAATTTAAAATAAAAAAAGTTCATGTATTGACAATTTTTTGTTATGATGTTGATTTGGGGTTAGTAGAGACAAACGCCAAATAACACGTAACAATAAAAAAGGGTTTTTAATAGGTTGGTAAAAAAAAACAGAAATCGCCTGAGTAGTCAATAACTAAAACATGTAAGAACTTCTCTATCTATCTATCTAATATTTATGTTGACATTAAACATACAAAATTCTTTGTTCACAAAGGCCAAAAAAATGTGGGGAATTCAAGAGGTGATTCTTCTGTCTTAAAATCTGTTTAGCTAGTCAAAATATTATTCAGTTAAAAAATGTCCAACAATTCTCCTGAAAAACATCCAATGATTCATTACCTTTTTTTATAATAAACCATAATACCTCATTTTATAAATATAAGGTCCATAACCAGTCCCCTTATTTACAGATATTGTTCATGGGTGGAGGTCAAAAATATTAACCTTTAAAATCCCCAAATGAATTTTACAACGTGAATTAATTGGACAACTATCTAGAAATCTCATGTCAACTTACAAACCACTCTTTAAAGTCTTTGTTCAAGTGCATACAAAAATCTTCAAGAGGGGTTTTCCTTCGTTTCCGACACAAATTTTTAA